AAAAAAAAAAAAAAAAAAAAAAAAAGAAAGGCTCCAATCCAAACTGCTCTAGGTTTAGTTCTAGGTTAACTGGGCAAAGCTGACCTAAGGAAGCAAAAGTGGCTTCTTTCAGATGCTCAGCTATTAAGATCAATACGTCAAATGTTTCCAATAGGTGGGACCACACCCAACCGGAATGGGCAGTCCCGGCTGCCAGGCAGTTCCAGTTTTCCATGCCCACCTGCCCCAGACAACTGGAGGTGAGACCACATCACAGACTGCTCAGGGAGGGTGTCACAGGGACGTGGGAGGGGCCTTTTCTCCTTCACCAAATGTGACTTCTGTCTGAAATGAATACATCACTCCTAATAGTGGGCACATCACTAGACAACCGTTATCACCACCTCTAAGACAGTGTTAAAAAGACCCAGGCATGCCGACATCACCATTCATGTTTGCCTCCGTTATTCATTCAGAGAAACTGTATCATTTAAAGCTGTTTTGCAAATAGACTTCAATGCCCAAGATTAGAAAAAAACCTTCAGTAAAAGTTGAAAGAATGTACTTATATATTATCTTTAAATTCAGGTTCTTGACCTCTTGGTGAATCCATTTGTTATGATAATTAAGTGAGGAAAAGTGTTTCCCTTGAGAATCTACTTTATGCATGCTATTTTCTCACGCCTCTGTAGTATCTGATAATTGTATTTCCAGAGAATTGAATAGAAGTGGAACGCTACAAATGATGAGGTGGCATTTATGTCCAGACTGGGCACTGGGGCATGTGGCCTGGGCAGGGCAGGAGAAGGTATTCAGCTATTCCTGCTGCCCTCCTGAAATTCGGACCCGGGGATTGCGCTGCCGGACCTGCTTATTGATACTGTCCTGAGGGTATGGAGAGGGAGAAGCTTTCCACAGTTGGTTTTATTTGCCCCTAAAAATCTCTTGCAGGAATTCTGAGTCTATTTAGGTGCCTCTTAGCCGATGGATTGGAGAATTCATTCGCTATAGAAAGTAGGAAGATACCTGCATTGCTCCCCATTTACTTGGGGCTGAAGACACGAGCCAGGAGCTTAAGCGCGTCCCAACACAAGTAAAGATCTGGTCTTACCTGGGTGAGACGGTGCAGTTCAACGCTCTCTGCTGTGACTGTCCCTCTGCCTTTGGGGACAGGGGCTCAAGGAGCAGCCAATACAAAAATCCAATTTGTTTGAACACACCCCCAACTGTAACAAAGGTCCCTGCAGTTGGCTCACCCTGTGCCCCCACCAGTCCCTCTCATGCTCATTTTAACCAATCGAGGTGACACAAGATGATTTCTGTGGGACTTGATATGACAGTTAGGGACAGACGGGGAAACATTTGCCTTTTAAAGCAGACACTCGGTGGTGTTCAGTGCAGGCCAAGGTGGGCCCGTGAGCAAGAATTTGGGGGGGTTCTTACTTGGAACAGAGGCAAATAAGGGATGGGACGTAACTAGACCAGGGCACTTACTAACACACCCCCTGGACAACTCTAAGGTGAAGCACAAGGCCCAGGACACAAGAGCTTGGGTTTCATTAAGTGACCAAAACTAGGGCTAAAATCTAGACTTCTTAGATCACAGAGCCTAATCTAGGAGAGAAATAATTTACGAGACGACCTTAATAGGTTTGTGATTGAAAAGTTTGTGAGCACCAACAGTGTGCCAGCCTCTGTGACAGGATGATACCTCAGAAGGGTCAGGACCCACTGGGGAGTGTGAGGAGCCCACCTGGATGGGGAGCGTGATGAGGGCAGGTCACTGAGAAAGGGTGGGACCAGGGCCCATCAGAGCTGGGTGCTACAGCAATCCCGAGGGGCCACACATACACTGAAATAAGGGCAGTGATTCAGGGTGAAGCCAGAGGGAGCCATCACTTGGCCGTGGGTCCACTCGTTCATGCCTCACTGAATTTTGCTACTGCTGGGCTTGCGCCCTGTGCACTGGAGGCTGCTTCCTCGCCTCTGAATTATTGTCTCCTTCTCCCTAATGTCAGCATCTTGCTTTTCATCATCAGCTATTGATTCCGAGTCACATTTATGGGCAGGAGGTGGCGTGCTGGTGGCTTTCTAGGAATCGGCTCTGCAGAAAGAAGCTCCTTACTGTTCTGGGACCTGTAGTTCTGTAGTCATTGGTTTGACCTGAGGAGCCCACTTTCTTGGCACGACACACCACAGGAGCAGTGGGCTGCAGACTTAGATTTTGTGTTATTGACTGTGGCTGGGATCTTGAGTCAGCCTCAGGCAGCAGTCTCACCCAGGGGCTGGCAAACTATGACCCTTGGGCCAAATCTGGCCCACCAGCTGTTCTTGTAAATAAAGTTTTATTGGAACTCAGCCACTCCCACTCATTTACAGTTACCAACAGCTGCTCTCATGCTGCAACGGCAGAGTAGCTGCAACAGACTACATGACTAGCAAAGCCTAAAATATTCATCTAGCCCTTTCCGGAAAGAGTTTGCTTACTCCTGGTCCAGAATTAGAACAGACTGTATTTTTAATTAGTTAAATTGGAGCAAATATTACAATTTTTTTTTTTTTTGACATGCAGTTTTGCTCTGTTGCTCAGGCTAGAGTGCCATGGTGGCAGCCTAGCCCACTGCAACCTCAAACTCCTGGGCTTGAGAAATCCTCCTGCCTCCTAAATAGCTGAGACTACAGGCACACACTGCCACGCCCAGCTAATTTTTTTTTTCTCTATTTTTTAGTAGAGACGGGATCTCGTTCTTGTTCAGGGTGGTCTCGACCTCCTGACCTCAAGGGATCCTCCCACCTTGGCCTGCCAGAGTGCTGGGATTACAGGCGTGAGCCACCATGCCCGGCCCTGAATATTACAATTCTGAGCCTAGGATGTTTGGGGCAGGATTTAAGGCTCTCGTTACAAGGATGGAAAGACTTGAGGCTTTAGCTTAAGGCTGGTGATTGGTAACGGCTGCCTGGAGGGCCGTGTTGGAAAGGATTCTACGGCTGTGTCTGGGCTGGCATGGGCACCTCTGGAGAGATGAACAGTGTGCCATGATTAATTTAGGCAAAGAGCACGAGACTGGGAATGAGCGAGGCAAACCCATGCTCTTCTTCCCAAAGGTAAACAGTATCTGGGGACGGCTTGACATTGCCCTCCGTGCCAGCACTTGGCACTGCCGAGGCTGGAGTTGCAAACATACCCTTACTGGGGGGAGGGAGGTGAGATGCCATTCACACTGTGACAAAAGTAGACAACAGGAAAAGCCAAGGTCATCAGGCTCCACTCCAACTTTAATTAAAGCTCCCAGTGCAGTCATGTAAGGCTAGCAGAGCACTAGTGTTTGTTCAGGAGAGCTTTTTGTATAAAGTTTTCTGTTTTGGGGAGGGAGGCATTTATTAATCTGTGCAATCAAAATGCCAGCAAAATGGTCACAATTATTTTAAAATGAAAACCATACGATGTATGACCACGCATGTTCACTGCAGAAAGCAGTATTCAATGTGGCTCCTGCCATAGATACCTATATACATACATATCCCTTAGATTGTGGTTTTTAAAGTTGAATAATCTTAAGACATCCTAACCATTATGTCTAGTAGCCTGTAATTCTGTAACTCCAGCAAACGATTCTTCCTCCATGATCCAAATAAATTCAGGTAGTGGAGTGGCCTCCTAGAGCCCCTCATCTGTCCCAGTGAATGTTGACAAGGGCTATGTAAATCTAGTTTTTGGAACTCAAGTTACATTTTAAATACACCAAGAGTCTGTTACTCATGCTAAATCCTTAAAAAGCACATTAGCCACTTTTGTGTAAATCCAGATTTTTCAGATGTTGCATGGTTTCAAAGGGAGGAATTTCCCATAGTCTCATATGTGTTTACAGCTGTTCTATCGATAAGCTGACTTTTTCTACTGTAAGTAGAACTTAACAGTTCTCAGGGTCACCGATGGCTGGCAGTGTAAATACAGATGAGGAATGCAGTAAGGTGTGCTTTAGGTTATTGTGCACTCTCTCTCATAAAGTCACTTAGTATCTCTCCCACTTTCCACATTTTCGCCTTAATTGTTTTTCCTTCACACCATGAAAAATTGCCAAATAGGCTCCGGCTGACTAGGTTTTCTTTTCATTTCAAGTAATTATATGAAACATTTACATTGTATAAGCCCACTAAACCGTATCTCAAATGCTGAATATTTAAAAAATATATTTTACAACTTAAGTTTGTTGAGAATTTATTTGCATAAAAATGCCGGTGTTTTCCCACTGATTCCCTAGAAATACACCACCTCTCAGCTAAGAATGGGTGGTAGGTAAATGTGTTAATGATCCTCATGAAACAGATAATTGGGAACACTGGTGTGTCCGGTCTGCGTTTGTGAGTTTGGAGAAGAAGAGCAGAAAGGGTGTTCAGATGTAAAATTCCTCCATGTCATTGTCCCCAGGACCAGCAGATCCTGGGGGTAGTGGCACGTCTCTGCCAGTCCACTCCCCTTTGGGAGCATCAGAAGGGAGTTGCCGGGAGGAGGCGCTGGGAGATGGGGGAGCAGCGCCAGCTGTCCCCGAGGAGCTGGAAGACCCTTTGCTGGAGAAAGGGAGGGAAGCCCAGGAGGCGTCTGCGGTCACCCCGCTGACAGCAGGCAGTGGTCCGTCTCTGGAATCCTTGTGTGTGGACCAGCGGCTGCTGCATCTGTCGGAGGGGAGGGGTGTTTCCACTGTGCTGCAGAACCTACTGGGGGCAGAATATGCAGAGACCACGGACAGGTCTGAAGAGGACAGCCGCAGGCCTGTGTCCACATCTGTCTCTTGGGCCCCCTCTAGGTCATCTATGGAGAGGAGGGGGCCGTGCCTCCGCTCCGCTGCCCTGTGCTCTGGGGCACCTGTGTTTGCAAACCACCGAGGTTCAGCTGCGGAGGCTGGGGAGGGGCCACCTGTGGGCAAACAAAACAAGGACTTGCTTCTCTGGAAAGACCAGGGAGGGCTAGGGGTGCTACTAGCTTGTCTGGCAAATTCCTGCTGGTGCCCAGGAGGCAGGCCTGTCCAGCCGGGCCCCGGGTGTGGACTGTTGAGCGGGGGCTGGTGGCTGCCGCCAGACGTACGGCTCGCTGCAGTGGCGCACGGTGAAGGAATGGAATGAGGTCTCTTCCCGGAGGAGTGGTGCGCTCTGCCGGGTTTGGGAACCTTCTTGTGCACCCTTTGTGCCTGTCGGGGAGAGGCAGACCACATTAATGCAGGGTGGGGAGTCACTGTTTAACACATCAGAAAACACAGCTTCCAATCATTGGAGGCTTCCAGCAATGTCACGGCAATAAAGCATTACCAGAAATTTCATTCTCCAAACTCTATAGACAGAGGTAGCAGAGCTTTTTTTTTTTTTGAGACAGAGTCTCACTATGTTGCCCAGGCTAGAGTGCCGTGGCGTCATCCTAGCTCACAGCAACCTCAAACTCCTGGGCTCAAGCGATCCTCCTGCCTCAGCCTCCCGAGTATCTGGGACTACAGGCATGCGCCACCATGCCCGGCTAATTTTTTTTCTATGTATTTTTAGTTGTCCAATTAATTTATTTCTATTTTTAGTAGAGACGGGGTCTCGCTCTTGCTCAGGCTGGTATTGAACTCCTGAGCTCAAACAATCCGCCCGCCTCGGCCTCCCAGAGTGCTAGGATTACAGTCGTGAGCCACCGCGCCCGGCCGGTAGCAGAGCTTTGAGGGCCACCAGACAGACATCCCAGTCTGAGGAGTCACCCCCGGGGCTGGGAGGAGAGTCAGGTCCTCATTGCAATTTAGAGTAACACTTCTTAAAGTACACACGTCCACGGCACTCGACAAATTAGCAAAAAGAGTAAGGGCCTGGCTGGGCATGATAATGGAGACAAAAATCACCATGAACTGCAGAAAGACTGCTTGAAGGGTGTACATTTCCCTCCAAGCGGAATATCACCACGTGCCCACCTGGTAGACGCTGTTCGGAAATGTTACTGATGGGAGGATGGAAGCCATCAGGACGGAATATGCACAATTTCAGATCAGATCCACATGGCACTTGGTTCCAGGACACAATCTTAGGGTGGCCCGTGGTTCCAGGCGGTGGACCATCCCTGAGTGAGGGGCTATCAGGAGATTAGCACTTATTTACTCGCTGCTAGGAATTACTGATCCTCTGTATATTTCAGGAACCAAGTACAGGAAAGGCAGCTGCTGCCTACTGACTGCACCTGCGGATGCCCTGCAGGCTGAGATGAGCAGTTTCTCGCTGTCACATCTCACTCTGTCCCCCTGGGCCACACACCAGCCCTCCCAGCCCCAGAGCAGCTCACCAGGAGCCTGTTTCTGTCACACGCGACTGGGGACCTGTCTTCCACTGCACGTTTCCACCTGGGTCTGCTTCTGGTCTGTGGCCGAGCCTACAGGCCAACCTTACAATGCAAAGCTTCAATTAAGTAATGGGTTTGGGGACAGTAGCTGGATATAGCATAGGATCATGATTTATGAATCCTTGAAATAAGAAAATGTTTCTGACTGGGGTTTAGGACAAGGGATATTTCCTGGCAGCCAGCAGGCTATGGCACACTGGCCTTGCCTTAGACAGCAAACACCCCTGCCCCCTGTTATACAGGAACCTGGTTCTCTCACAGTCACATAGGAAGTTTAACTCAATGTGATGTGCGCATATCATGTACCTCTCATGGGTAAAGGAGGGGAAATTACAATGAGAAAGAGTCAGTCTTTGACCACATGAAACTTACATTTCATTGAAAGGTAGGAGACAAAAACAAATAACTGAGACTGGAGAATGTGATGACAGGCAAAATAAAGGGCGCTGAGGGACAGACCATGCCCACCCAGCGGGAAAAGGGGTCTTCAGTGGAGGTGGCCCCACCGGTGAGTCTTTGAGGATGGGCAGCTGTCTCCCAGGGGATGGCCCGGGTGGGGACAGGGTGTGTTGGGGAGAGAGGCTGGGTGTCGGCAGGCAGGCAAAGGGTGTGCAGTTTGGTTTGGTTTGAGCCTAGGCATGAAACGCGGTGATGGAAGGTCAAGTCCCAGGGCCATATTGGTCAAGGAGACCTTGACCACCTGGGTAAGAAACCCACATACTCATTATCCTTCTGATGGGGTCATAGTCTTAATTGCATTTCTTCTCTATGATATTTCTTTCATTGATTTCAAAGATCTTTATTTGCCCAATTCCAGAAGTCTCTTAATCCTATGGACAGTCTAATCGGCTCATTTTTTCACCCAGCAATAACTGAGGGTCTCTTATACAGAGCTTCCCAACCGGTGTGTTTAGGCTTTGGATGGGTTATTAAAGGCATGTGGATACCAATCTCCTTCACATGCAGCCTCTTGTACTACATATTAATACATATTATCATTGTCATTTTCCATGTGTTCTTTGACGTGAAAAAGGTCTAGAGGGCCAGGCGTAGTAAATTTTGATAAGATGTGGTCTTAGCTCCCAAGAATTAACTGTATAACATTCAAGTTTAATAAAGTGAGGCATGATTCAAGCCTGTGTGGGGCATGCTGGGCCCAAAGGAGGGAGTGGCCAACTTCACAGGGGGTGAGGCAGCAGGGGGAAGGGGAGAAAAGACTGCCTTGGGGAGTCATTTTCAGACAAAATCTTGGCTGAAGAGGTTTGCCTGCTGGAGGGCAGTGGGCGTAGTACAGGGAGGGTGTTTGGGCACTGGAGCCGCCTGAACAGAGGCTGGAGGTTTGTACCAGAGCAACACGGAGCCCAGAGACAGCAGAGGAGTCATGTCACAGCGGGTCCTGGTCACATGCACATACAAGGCACCTGCTCTTCAAAACCTGGGAGCTTTATGGCAAGGTGGCTGCACGGTCAGATTTGCAGCAGTGGGTCAAAGAGGACAGAGACTGGATGCAGGAACCCCTGGAGGCAGGAAGAACATTTAGAAGATACCGCAGTGGTCTTTAGAAGAACATTTAGAAGATACTGTAGTGGTCTTTCACTTCTTAGGACTCAGGACAAATGAGCCACATGTCCAGTGGCCTGTGTGCGTTTCTTCTCAATCATGGATTTAGATATTCAGGATTTGCTATGAATTCTCTGTCCCGCATTCTTGACCCTCTCTTCAATCCTCGGCCTCTACATTCTCTGTGTGTGGTTTTTGGTTTTTCTTTTGTCCCAATGACTTGCTGATCCTATTTTCTCCCTTCAGACTTTGCATGACATGTTGAAATTCCCAGTAGCTAAAGGAAAAGAGCAGCAGTTAAGATTTCTGACAGCCTGAGTTAAGGATCCTCAAAGAACACGATGCAAAGCGCTTGTGAGGCAGTAACTGGGCAAGGCGTGGTTCCACGACTCACACTCCACAAGGCCATTCTCATCGTGCAACTTCAGTTTGGAGCAGCTCCACACTTTACGGCTTGGGAGGCCTAGCTGAATACTGGGTAGGACGGTGTAAACAGAGATGGCTCCTCCTGGAGGATGACACACTCACCCTGGCCGGCGGCTGTGTGCTCCACTGTCCCCTGGACTCCCAGCCCAGCCCCGGGACTCCGTACTGTTCTGCCGCTGCCCGGCAAGGCTCTGTGCTCAGCACGTGCTGTGCCGACACAGGGCACGTAACGGGAGCTTCAGCACGGTAAAGAGTCACCCCTTTGGGTGGGGTAAGGCGCGGCCCCAAAAGGCCCAGGTGCGCCTGGGGCTGTCGCAGCTGGCTGGCTGCTGGAGAGACAAACTGATTTTCTCAATCGAGTTCGGCTGAATAAGAGAGAAAGTAAGTCAGGAGGCTCTTTAGAGAGTGAAGTCCTTGGGTATAGAGGCTGCTTCCAGCGGGACAATGTTTATTAATTAAAATCTCTATCTTATTTTTCCCAAAGGCCAATTCCCCTGGGTGCCCTAATGTCATTTTCTTTCTTGATAAGTATGTGCCGCCTTGTAAATTCCATCATATTTGAGAACACGCTCTTGGTGAGAACTTCTGCAGTCTGAATCTGCATGAAAAAGGAAGCCTCTGCGGGTATTGCTTTATGAGCAGCAAAAGGTCAACGTTCCCACGCAAGAAGCTGCTAGGGGACATCTGAATCTTCCCACTGTCAGGGAATAGGGCAGCGTTAAATGTGGCTCAAAAACAGGCACAACAGACAGAGGATGAACACTCTGCGGTTCTGCAGAGATTTTCATGACTGTGCTTGTTTAATAGAAGCCTACCTGTATGCTGTCTTATTTTTACCACATGATGAAGGCAGCAGTCCAGACAAACCCTACATTCTGCCGCTTTGAAGAGAGGTGGCACCTGGTCTTTTTCACTGGAGGGTGCCCATGTGCACAGTGGAGGTGCCTGCTGGGTGGGCGGCATTCTAGGCTGGCACAGCGCCGTCGATAACAGCAGGAATCCCAGGGCAGCAGCAGGAGTGGGGGTGGCGGAGCTTCCACAGCTGGCTCCCGAGTTAGGCCAGTGGCTGATGTGCACACAGGATCCGCCTGCCTGGACAGACCTGGTGGTATTCTCTGGCTCTGCACAGGGGTGGAGGGATCAGCTTCTGAAGTGGGGTCTTGTCTGACTTAAAGACAACTTGCAAATGCCAACAATGGAGCTTTTTTGTGTGCAATTCCATGGGTGGTGGCTCTGTCTGTGGCCTCTCTTGTGTACTTGGCTGCTTGACTAGGAACACTACAGGCTGAGAATGAGACATTGCAGATGTTTCAGGAGTGGTGGATCTTCCACCAGGATCTCTTCCCAGGTGGATCTTTCCAGAGTGAAACAAGAACCTGTGTCCTCCTCTCGTGGAAGGCTCCCCCCGGCTTTCGGTTCTTGGGAACTGCCTTTCTGAGCTGCTCCGAGGGACAGCAGCGATGTACTGTGGAGTTTGCTTCTTTTCTTTCTCTTTGAAGCAGTGCAGACTAGCTGCCTCTCTGGAATCCAGAAGCTCCCTTCTTTCCTATTTAAGGAACTTTCTCTAAAGAACAGAATAGCATCACATAAATTAACCTGCTGAAGGCAACCAACCAGGGACATCTGGTTATGTCCCTGAAGTCACCAAAAAATCGAAATTCAGTAACTGAGCCGTGAGTTTTTCCTTTAAGCATAGGCAGTTTGCAGTTGGGGAAGTGAAGGGGGCCTGGGGTGGACCATGGAACCAAAGCATCTTTTTCAAGAATCTGGGTGTCAAGAGGCGCATTCCCTCCCTGGCATGTGGACGGAATCTTTTCTTCTTCAGTTGCTAATAAAGGTGAT